GATTTTCACATCAATCAATCACCCTAAACACTATAAAGCCACATATATTATCTGCAAACTGCTAACCATAACTCTAATTTAGCCAATTAGTACTGTTTATATACTAATATTTTATTTGAGGTATATTGAATGTTACAATTAAACATCCCAGACATATGAATAAATAGTTAACAAGTATTTTACCCAGCAGCAAAGCTGTTTCTACAGTATGACTGCCTTGACCTGCTAAGCGTATTATCACTTTAGACACGTAGGTTTGTCCATGGCCAGCGTCAGCATCATGAACAGGCCCCTGTGGCTCAGGCTCATCCAAAAAGCCACTATCACCCCTCAGCTGAATTCTAACACAATTTAAAAATAAGACCTATGATTTGGTAATAAAAATGTTAAAACACCCACATTACACTGTAATAACAATCATGTTAATTATTCAGTTAATAGTAACATACTGTAACATGTCTGCACAAACTCCTTCCAACTAAAAACAGCTATCATTAGTTTATAAGGCTGTCTTTGATGCATGGAAGTGCGATCTCACTTGAAACTTGCAAAATATATTCGCTATGAGCATACTGGACATTTATGGTTATTATAAATGCTTATTGGTTCATGATGTGGTTTTAGATAGGTTGTGTAATCTTGAATTTGTCATGTAGGCTGCAAAGGTGGTATCATTGCCCATTATGTCTGTCTACTCTTGCACTGACCATGGCTTTATTATTATGTGCCCGTTGTTTTTCCTGTCATTTGTTTGATGATTTATGTGATACATATATAAAAAAATATGCATCTCAAGTTGCTGAACAAGTGCTTGCCATTCCAGTCACTCATTTTTTTTTCTTCCATGTAACTGTTGTGGGTTTTTCCCCACATGGCACAGTCACCAAATGCCAGAGCCTCTCTGAAGATTGAGACATTTTTAGCAGTTCAACCAGCTGTTTCTCTAAGAAAAAAAGAGAAAGAAAAAGCAGTTGCACTTGTCTGGCAGCTCCTGGCATTTTGGCAAATGGTTCTGTGGTTAAGGGTGGACACTCAGTGACGGGAGTGTCTTGCAAGGTGGGGTTCAGAATATGCAAGGGATAACTTTTGGAGTGCCACATATTTCCATGTGTGAGACAGTCTCGCAGTAACACCCTATTCGTACGGGTCAGTATCAATAACCCACAACTGCAATATTCTTAATCCCTCTGGATTAGTGCAAAGCATTCTTGGGAGGCTGAGTGTTTCATTCAAAGCTGTGTGACAGATGACAGACTGAGTGATGTCTTCCAATAGAAACACACACACACACACAGAAAAGACACAATAATATTGACTTAATGGCAACATTTGATAATATTATGCTTCTGATGTACAGCTCCGTGTTGCAGCTTTAGATGCAAATAGCTGGCATCAACCCAAAAATCATAATTTACTGAAGTGTCGTTTTCGCTGTTAGCGATGGCCACATCACGGTTCTTTTTTCTTCCCACAGCATGACTGTTTTTCAGGGAGCAAATGGGGACAATAGAAATAGCTGTGCACATGATGTCCCCTACTGGCAGACTATGTTTAGTGCAACTTGGAGCATTTTTTTTCAGTGAGTATTGGAAAGATCAGGCATTGTTAATGAATGGTTTCAGAGCTCAATTTTGTGTTTTGTATGAGCCAAAGATAATGGATAACAGTATGTCTGAGTTTCCATGGTTTTAAGGCAGGCAAGCCTTTGTCTTAAGTGGTCATTTTTATAAAAAGCTAGACAATAGCTCCCCCTAATGGTGACTGAAAATAAATACAAACTCCTATTGTAAGTCTTTTCTTTTACTCGCAATAAGTCAGTGCTATCTCCTCCCACAGGTCTCAGAGGACTGAGAACATGGCTTCATAGACTAAAGAAAAAAAAGAATATTGTCCTTAAAATCAACAGCAGTGGTGGTGAATATGTTTTAGATGGATGCGCAGAGCAGTCTCCATACAGGAATCTAGGCATCTGTGATATTGTACAGTAGCTCACTGCATTATTATCGATAATATTTATCCTGCTTTATATACTTATGCATGTGTCTTATATCTATAGCATGACTCACAGCAGAAGGTCACTGGCACTAACCTTCTGGGAAGGGAATATATTCAAGCATCCTCTAGAGAGCAGTGTTACAGACTGTTCCAAAGTATGGGTAATCCACTTTTAATAAGGAATACACCCAGGTGTGGAGGAGCGAGAGCTCTAACATTATTCCCTTTATTAATGCACTACCCATAGTGTGTCTAGATCCAAGCATAGGTTCCAGAAAGAGAATTAAAAATATATGAAATAGTTTCTGCAAGAAAACAGGTCTAACTGATTTCCTCTGTGTCTTTGTCTCTCCTGTGCATTCACCTGCTTCATGGAGGAGCGGAGGAAAGAAAGAGGACGAGGGAGGAAGAGAAGTAGGAATAGAGGCCATCAGAGGTCTTCTTCCAAAGCAAAGGGAGGTTCTGCAGATGCTCTGCTTCTTGAGACAATCCATCTCAACAGACTGAGAGTCATCAGGGAGAACACCTGCACTGCACTGCTCTGTACAGAGCTCTGCCTGCATGCTTGTCTTCCCGAATGCAGCAACATCTGGCAGAGGAGCAAGTGTATTAAAAAAAAAAGAACATCTGCACAGCATCAAGCAGCCAAGTAAACAAACAGCCCTAATGAAAGTGGTAACAGTTCCCAAATACAAGGGTGCATTGTCGACCACCTATTTTCCTTTAATTAAAGGCATATTAAGCACTGGCAGTGTTTTCTTCTGAGCCCATTGGGGAAAATTACAACAGCTCAAAAGACTGCTCACGTGTGTCTCCATATGCTTAACAAATAACACATAATGGGCAGGGATATGCTGGATTATGCTTTACACTTGAAATATTCCACAAGACAGCAATATAATACGCAACAAAAATAAGCATTTATGCAGAAATGAACTGTTTGTTGCACATAGCAGTGTATACTTAAAAATAAATGTACAGTATAGTGATGCTCTTTCATCAGTGAGCATGCAACTATACTACAAATCAAAATACTGTGCAGTGTAACATGCACTGGCATTGAAAAACATCGCAAATTCAATGTAATTAAATTTGAATGACATAGTGTAGATGTAAATCCTTATACACACCCATACATAAACACACACATGCACAAAAAACACACAAAGCACACACTCCTTGTCTCTCGTTCCTTTTCATAAAAGAGCCCCGGGACATAATACAGAATCCCTCCAATGCAGCACAGTTCCGACTGCACACTTGAGTAGGAGTGCATACTGTAAGTACACATGATTGGCCTATAACAGTCATGTGACTGCAGACTGTGATCCCCTGTGTTAGGTCACAGTAATTGACGCTTCCATATGGTATAGATCAGACGTAGCCTCCACCACGCATTCCTCTGTCACAGAGGCCCTATGCTATCTACAAAAAAAGTGAGGCAATCAAACAAATATCTGGTCATTCAGAATCACACATTGTAGATACCTTTCCATAAAAGACGGGTTGCCATGTAGAAAAAAAGCTATGCTCATGTGAGTTTTTTTTTTTTAAAAGCATTCTGTGGTTTGATTGACAATTTATTGTGCCTTATCCAAGGTGATATGGTACTATATGGTTTGTTTGTGGTAAGATTGAAAGGATAATATAAACACACTCACACACAGGCTACTGATAAGAACAGAAACACTGCTGCTAGTCCATGTTGCAGAACCAACATCCTATTTTAATGGCAGATTATTAGCTTGTTCTCTTACGAACGTGCACATAGAGTTGTACTGTGGACTAACCATGTCATTGTAATAAGCTTAATAATCCTAAATCTCCATAGTATTTCCAGAATCCAGAATATATCTCATATTATCATACCATAATTCACTGCATGTTTCTGCCTTCACTGCATGCTGTGGTTATAATGTAGTCCTATACAGTGAGACAAAAAAGAGCTATGCTATCTTATAAATAAACCACCGTATACGATCCTAACTTTAATACACCTTTTTAGATTGGAAGAATTTGCATATGTCTTCCTTTCTTTTGTTAATAAAATTGTGTATTTAAGGACAAATGTTAAATAAATGTTTAACATTAAAAGACAAAACTATATAGCTACATGACAGTGTGCCCTATCATGACAGCCCAAAAACCACCACTATAAACCACCCTAAAAATTAGACCACAGGGATGACCCGGTGTCTTTCTAATATACATGAATTATATTTAACATACTTTGTTATTTTTACATTTAAGCCCATGCATCCCTCCCCTGCCGGTCCACTGACCTCTGACCCTCACTGACACTGTGAGCATTGAGGGATTTAGGATCACAGCACTGGTTTATTTTTAGGGCTGATGCATTTTTACACAGCTATACAGTTCCAGGTAAAAGGCTTATTTTAAAACCAGCTCTGGAACCTGTCCACAATTCATGAGTCATCCAATGTGGGAGTTTATACAGTCCGAAGTAGGCCTGGTAGGCCCTGGAAGTTTTCACATCGAGCTCTTACTTAAAGACTTGCTTTCCACCGTAAATTATCGCGATACTTGTCGATTAGTTGATTAAAGAGCTGTATAATTATCATAAATAAATAAAAACTTTAAGCTAGTATCCAAGTTTCATGTCTTAATAATAAATACAGGTCCATTTCCAAGAAATTTACCCTTCCGTTTATAATCTAAACTGGGAAGTAAAAGATAAATGAACTACTTATGTAAGGTTAACCGAGTAGTAAAGTTAAGCAAAGTTAATAGGATAACGCTTCTTTTCGGACGAGCGCGTGCTTGGTTACTAACAGTGACGTTGGTACAGTTTTAAAAGGCAAATATTTATTTATTTATAAAATTTTATTTTAAGTTAAAGAAATTTGTTTAATTAAATCGTTAATTTGTTACAGTGCTGGTTCCCATTTACCAGCGCCAAAGTTGTGGGCTAAAAGAAAAAAGGCGTACTGTCTCTTTAAGGCAGCCAGCCAGTCTCTTCGTATTGATCAATCCACCATTTTCCAACACAGAGCGGCGGCAGTGCTAACACAGCTCCGGCAGCGCGAGAGAAGAGAGCCACCCCTCTACCTGGAGAGGAAGCCAGGGACCGGGGGCAGTCATGGCAGCGAACATGTACCGGGTTGGAGGTAAGGTGGAGGGGGTAGTATTTTAAGACCTTCCCGTAATTTTTTATGGCGGACTCGCCATGATTAACGTCGGTTCTTTTATGTATTTACAGCGCGTGGTCCGTCTTTTGCTTCCCTTCTTTTATTTCCCTAAAGCTAAAGAGCCTTGTGCTTCACAGATGATGATGATGGTGACTGTGAAGAGGAGGATGGTGATGAAGAGTAGTGGTTCTCTTTACAAAACTGCTCCCCGGATTTCCTCGCTTCTTTTTGCGTTTTTCTTGCAACTTAGCAAACAAGTACTTTAGTGCAACGATGCACTCTGAGTAACATGCATTGCGCTTCTATATATTTTGATGTAACGTAGTGGATATTCTAAAAGTTTTGCGTGCCATTCAGCTACAGCCCGGACTATACGCTCACAGCCATAAGTAACGTCGTAAGTGCTTTAAGTGTCCTGCAGAAACCTCTCAATGCTCACAAGACAGCAGCAAGGAGTGCATGCTTTTAAAATGCAGGGAAGGAGTGGAACAAAAAGTTAAAGACAACACTTTACATGCAGGAACCACTAAAATTCTCAAAGCATGCGTAGAGATCCGTTTTACACATTTACAACCAGTGTGTCTTCGCTTCTTTTGTGCAGGCAATTCAACTTAATACCAAATTAAAATTCCTGATTTCCCCTCCCACTCATTTTTTCCCTGCATATGTTCCCCTGATTTACATCCCGTAGGTACTGTGTGAAAATGAAAACACGAAAACCACTATAGCTGCACTGTATTTTAAATAGAATGTGCTGTTTTTGAGGGGGTTTGCAGTGGAGATGCATAAAAAATGGAGACCTTTTTAGATGGTGTCTTCAAAAAACTTCAAATTTAGCTGTCAAAAAGTGTCACCACACAGAGGTTTGATATAACAACTGTAATGCAGATGGCAGTCCTAATCATTTTCAGGACAGTTTCTTTATTCTTTCTCTATTCATCCACTTTAATGTCTTTTTGGACTCTGTGGCCATTTGTCAGTAGAAAAGGGAGGGAAAGCAAACTGATTATATTTTTAAGATTATTAATATCATTTGAAATTTGACTGATGTGATTGCAGTGGGCTTGGAGCATGCATCAAAAATAGCCTATGCTGAAGATAATGGCATTGTTATTTAGTCAAATGAAACAAAGCCTACCTGAGTGAGAGCTGGATTATGTTGGAGCAGGGTAAAAAGTTAACACTTTACCAGCCAGATGTTACTTAGTTTAGTATTTCTGTTTACGCTGTCAGTCTCTTACACTGACATACCAACCAGTTAAGCTTGTACGTCTTGTTTGTAGCACACTAATTTGCAGTAAAAAAGATTGTTTCATTTATTTCACATCTACCTCGCAGCTTTAAGGTTGTGTAGTTTGACTAATTTGTGAAATCGAATCAATCAGAATGGATTAAACATTTAATGCTCAGTCATCAAAGCAAAGTTGATTACTTTTTTGGAAAAGTGAAAAAGTAAAAAGTAAGCTCAACCTTCATAATTTAATTTAAAACTACAAAACATAATTTAATAAGCATAGTCTTAATTTGTCCTACAACCAGACTTCTAGTTTAAAAAAAAATAAAATCACAGTTCTAGTTTGGCCTAAAAATAGGCCTCATAATTGACTGAAGCTTCTCCAGGCCAACACCAGAACAAAGCAGAAGCCCACACAAAGATGGCTGCTGCTTTGCAAGACAATGCAGGATCATCTTGGAAAAGCAATGAGTCCCCTTGAATGAGCAGTGGACAAAAGACAAAAGGTCTTGATGTCTTTGTTTTCACCATCCAGGCCACAAGCCACTCTTCCGGTGCCTGCAGCACTTCTTCCTAGTGCTTTCCCTCATGTGCAGGAAAGTGTTGGTGACTAAGTGTAGGCTATACGATAACTTTTAACCATTTCAGCGGTTGGAAGACTTTTTTATGAATGCAGTGAAATTTTTAAAAAAGCCTCTAAGACTTGCTGACGACTTGTTTTCCCCAAGTGAAAACAACGCTTTCCTGAGATTATGATGTTCTAAATTTTGTTGTGAAGTTGTATAGAAAGTTTACTACAATTTTTGCTAATGGGTATTCAGACCCATCTTTGAAAAAAGCAGACAGGCTTTTAAAACTGTGGAGCTTTGATTTTTTTTAGTTAATATTGCAGTAAGTTGCTTGGTGGTGTTAAGCCAGGTTCAGTTTTTGGCCAGGTGATCCTCTGTTTGTTTCTTTTAAAATGAATTTGTACAACAGGCTTCTGAATGTGGACCTACTGTGATAGAGATGTTCCAAAATATAGCAAAAGATGTCCTGTTTGTATTTTCTCAAATGGTGTTGCTCAAATGGTGTTGCTCAAAATATATTTCTACCTAGAATGAGGAGTGTGGGTTTTATTCCCCCATCACCTGCATCGTAACTGCGATGTATGAGGCCATATCCGAGGATGTTATGATCACGAGGAATGATTACAGGATGCAAACACTTCTTCGGTCGTCATATGGGTAGAGGTCTGTTATTTAAAGAAATAATTGGAAAATACGGGATCCATCCTTTAAATAAGAACTTGCATTGAAATGTTTGGATTGTGACAGCTCTTGCACAGAGTTTGCAAAATGTGTTGCATTGTTTACTAACTTAAAAAGTGAGAAACTTGGGTGTTAATGCCCACATTTCCTTTGGATGGTGAGGATTTTCTACAGTAATTATTCAGAATGTGCCTGAAGGTGTTGCACTGTTTACTAATCTACAAACTGACTAAATTACAAACTTTGACAGTGCCCACACTTTGTTTGGCTCATGGCTGGTGTTAATCTCCCACGCTGGCAGTTGTGTCTCTTGCAGGGTCTGGTGGGTGTACTCGCTGAGTGGCGAGCTGAGGCTTCTTTGCTTCAATCCTGCCAAGTTCAGGACAACTAGTTGGACAGATGCATGACAACCTTTTTACATCCATTCAGCAAAGTATCCCCATCATTGTGTTTCTGAGGGGGTCAAACTGCCCGAACGCCCATCACAATAACCCCTGTTTGCTAGCTTCCTAGTATTGCCTATGGACTTAAGGGTCTGGTTGTCTAAACTTCACTAGAATGAAATGTTTGAGAAAAGAGTGGAAAAATTTGCTGATTTATCGCATTTGTTAAGTGCAAGCTGCAGTGGCTGCTGCAGTATGATTGCAAGGTGTCATGGGAGTTGTGATCTAATTATTATAAGATCAAATCCATCTCAGCCTTAACATCACTGCTGACTTTATGCGAAACTGCTTTTTAAACATTTTTTATTCCTCTGTGTAAAATATTATAATATGTCAGAAAAATGAGCAGGACGGGATATGAAAGACATATTTTTGTCTCTTTCCTGCTTTTGCCAGGAATCCTAGCAGATACTAGCAGGCCAGGTAGATTGTATAGACTGTATAGAGGTGTATGCATCTGTGCATACAGCTGATCGTACTTGATTGTGAGTGATATCAAAGTGTGAAAATAAGGTGCGAGTTTGACTTTAGGATATTTAATTAGCTTCTATTACCATAGAAACCTTCATCCATACTATGGCAGTCTATCTTGTCTGCGGTTGCTGCTTCTGACAGCAGACACACCTGTCCGTGTGACTGCATGAGTAAGCATCGGATGGGGTGTGAGCTGTGGAGGGCGTGTGTTTGCTTGGACTAACGTGGGCAGATGTTCATGCTCTTCCTCTGCTGCCTCTCCAGCTCCCTTTCTAGCTCTAGCCCAGCCCTTGACAAAAAAAAAAGAAATATGACTAAAGTATGCTGTACTACGTGTGGACATTGAGTTCTCTAGAGATGAGTTTGAAGCTGGAGCACTTTTTGAATTTGAAATAAATTGCATCCTATCATTAAGTTGAAATATTTGGATATGCCGTGGTGCAGCTTTATTGGAGCTAGCATATTGCAGACTAAATAGAAACAAAGATCAGTTGGTTACTGCGTTGTTGGTTTTTCTGTCACATAATCACAGTGTTGGTAGAGCTGTCTTTTAGGGATGTACAGGCAGACTTCCAGCTATCGTTTGAAATGTCTATGAATTTGATGATTAACCACGTAGTCTGTAGAAGGTCAGAAAATAGTCCCATCCCAGGTCATGGATACACGAGGAGAGAGGTGTAACTTTGATTTTAGTAGTCAGTGAGACGTACCAGAAAACGCATACACAGAATCAACAGTCAAATTTGTTTAAAAAAAAAAAAAGGTTCATACCTTTTATTAGGTATGAACAAAGTTTTATGACTGCTTAATTTTAGACTCTGTTTAAAAGTGCCGACAGGATCAGCGAGTCAGGGTTAGAGTACTTGAACGATTGCTGTGCCAATTTATGTTCTGGATACACTAAGGCAAAAAAGGAAACTGCAGCTGTACTTGTCTACATCTTCACTACAGTAATGATCCCTGTTAAAATTGTTTTGAACCTCTTGCATCATTGCAACAGTGCGGTTTTCTTATTATGTTTCCCACTTCAGCTGTTATAAAGTAGATGATTGGCTGTGGGGAACTGCTGTCTCTTGGTGTTGGTCACAGATTTCGGTTCAGCATTCTTGTATCCTCTTTGTGATGTCTGAGATCTGTAGAAGCTACAATCAGAAATGTAAGGAATTTAACATGTTAATTTGCTTTTTGTTAACTAATCTAATAATTCAAATGGCTAATCACGGCAGCTTTAATGTACTGCATAAGTTATAATACGCTAATACACAGATTCCCAGCTGTTTGTCTCATGACTGTGCCTACTCAAATGCCTTTAACTAGGAGTGTGTTGCAGGGTGTGTCTCTGAGCTGTTCGACAAGTGATGTTCCCTCTGGGATTGCTTAATTTAAATTGCTTTAAGAAACTCTCAATGACAAAGTTGTTTAAAAACAGAGATTTAGGTAATAAGATAGTGTTGGTGAATTGTACTTTCTGGAGGGCATATTTAACATAATAAACCACTACGACTATGTAAAGCAGTTTATCGATGAGACCACCAATACAATATAGTTTTCAGCCAGAGCTGTGGGATTTGGACTGTAGGCCCTTACAATGTGCATCTTGGATTATCCTGGTCACCTTAACCGAAGTTTACAGTGAATGTTTGGATACAGGTTATTTTGATTGTAATTCGCACACCTGTTCCACTTATTTTAGATTAAACCCACCTTATCTCTTTCTGGTTGATTATTTATCTCATGTTTTCTTTCTCCCTCTCTCTCTCATCATTGCGTCTCTGCCAGTCTGTCTCTCTGGCCTGGTTTGAATCAGCCCAGCAGACTCTCTCTTTCGGGGCTCAATAACGTGCCTTGATTGGCTCACAGAAAATTTGACTGCACTATGACATCATGGCCGCCGGAGCCCGCCGATTGGCTGACGCTGAAAGTGGGGGATGGAGAGCGGGGTGGTTGTACGCGGGCTGATGTGACGGGAGGGCTGATGGGAAACCGAGAGACTGATGCTGCTCATTGCCTACAGGCTCTCTCTTTCTGTTGCTCTCATTTTGAGTTCCTCTCCAGCTTGCTCTCCAACAGGCTTCAGCTCCTCACATGTAGAAACTCCAACATTCAACCAGGCTGTTCTGGACAGTCACTGAGCCATTTTCCTCCCATGGTTATATCATTACAATTCTTTTTTCTTCTTCTGGAGGTGGCAGGAAGGGACACGGGTTGAACTTAAGTGTTTCCATTCTTGGTAACTTAAATTTCCGAGCCAGGAAAAAAAAGAACACGGTGAGCTTTGCCCAAAGTCCCACCTTCTCTAAATGTAGCGGGAGACGTGCTGTCACCAACCAAGGGGGAAAAAAAAAATCTTAGCATGTAGTGGCGATTCACACCCAACACCACATCAAACCGAATGTTCAACATGTGGTTCTGCTTCATTTTCTAAAATGGTTATGACGCATTTTGGCTCCTGATTAATGGGTCCCTCTGAGCTGGTGAGCGTTTGAGGGCCGCAGCTACACGTCATCATTTCTCCCCACGCTTTGTCAAGAGACTTGTCCCTATTTTTTTTTTTTTTTGGGAATTTTTGGGAACAAAGGAATTTTCTGTTCTCAGTAGTAATTCACATGATGATTAGTTGATTGATTATTTACAGCATGGCTATCACAGCGTCCCACAGCATAAGCTGGTGTCCTGCAATGTTCTGTTTCCTAATCAATAGTCCAAAAAGGAAAGGGTTTGTTTGTTTATGTAAATAAATTTAAAATCCTTTCTAGCCAATTTCCCTGAGAAAAAAAGAGCCAAAGCTTTTAATTGAATCTAAACAACTGCTTCTAAAAGTGTATGAAATAACTAATTGATTAATGGCTGCGCTACAGTACAGCTTGTTCTGTTATAGGCAGGTAGGAATAATGGCCGCAGCAGTCAAGGATTACTTTCATTATATTCTGAAAATTCTTTCATTGAACATTAAATGATTTCAAACTTAAAATGGGAAAATATGTCTTTAAAGAGATTAAAACCGAAATGGATATTTCACTTTCTGTGATGTAAGACCACATGTGAAAGGCGTAAGTCACTTTTCAGAAGCTAAAATAAGTTTCAAGTGTTATTAATTTATAAAAACTGTTTCTGATTAGTTTAATTAGCTATTCAGTTTCTGTTCATGCTGAACAAGTTTATTTATTTTTTTGTTCAAGGATGACTTGACCATGCTTAATAAAAGGATAGTGTCTTGGTCACTTTCCCGCAGTTTCACAGCCAATCTGGTGATCACAACTAGTCACAAGCCAGTTTCTTCAACCCCTGACCTCCGTGCTGCTGACTCACATGTGTGTCTGAAAGCGAGCAAGTCGGATATCTCGTCTTCATTTTCTTTCTCAGTGTGCCGCTCAATTTCAGCTTGGCCTATTTGATATTCAGCAGCGGGACGGAGATGTCAGAGTGGCAGCGGAGTCTAGTAACAAGCTGTTACAGGGTGAAGAGTAGACAGGCATGATGTGACGATCTTTTCCCATCTTGTAGCAATGTTCAACAGTAAAAAGAGGGTTGCTGGAAGACGCAAGTCATAAAATTTGCACTGTGTATGCCTTCTGAATTGCTTTTGCTACTTGGAGGAAGTGCTAAAGTTTTACATCTTCATGCAAATGATGATTGTTCAGTGGCTTAATGCATAGAAAATTTTTTCAAGGGATTAAATAAAATAAACGTACCGTAGCTCTGGAAATTACAGTTATCTTGCATTACAAAACTTCAGACTGGGCGTGAACCCCTTGTATTCAGTTATAAGTGTGAGTGGAGAGAAGAATACCAATAAGCATAGTGGAGCAAAAGGTTTTCCAGTGGAGAAGTCAAGGTGTGCCCCCTATGCAGATGCAGTGGTTGCTTTGCATTATTGTGTGTTAAAGATTAGCGTGGGCGAGACAATCTCTGAGATAAACTTTCAATGTTTGACTGTTGATTATTGGAAATGTTACAGTCAGCAAACATATTAAATATATACATGTTGGATGTGAAGTCATTGGTAGTTCAGTTTATTTTGGTTGTCTGTGAATTGTTAGGAAACTGTTTTCACTCGGGTTCCTCTGAGCCAAAGACGGTGTCTTTAAATGCCGTTTTTTCCTGAACAGAGTTGCAGTTAAGAACACCTAAGACGAGACAAAGAAATTCTGTGAATTAGTACAGATTAGTTTGAAAACTGAGTAAAGAGAAAAAAACATAAAAAAAACACTATTAAACTTTGTTCATACTGTCGTTCATGGGAAGGAGCTCTCAGTATGCTCGTCTGGTATTCAACAGGCAAAAGTTTGTTTTGTATCCTCGGTGCCCTATGACATAAATGCATCCTGGCCGTTGCATGGAGAGTACTGAAAGCATACCATATGTTTGCAGAAACACATTAAATACTGCAATTTATGCATGCCAGGCATACGTATGAAAATAAAGCTCAAGACAGAAAAGAAAATGCAATGCAGAGAAAATGAATTGCAAAAATAATTCTTTAACAAAACCAATTCTTCAGCTGACTGTGTGTCTTGCTGTCTCTCTGAGCACCCCTACCTTCACCCAATAAGGACCCCAGATAAGTAGTTGCATAAATGATCAATGAAACCTCAAAGAATTCAGTGTTGGAAGTTCTAGCATATAAGCTCTGCAGCTTTTTGTGTTGCAAAGCTTTGAAGAGATTCTATATCCAGTAGTGAAAGCTTCATTTCCTGCTTGGATAATGTGTGTTGTGTAATCCATCTATAGGTTGTTATGTAGATGGAAACATGATATCATCTTACACAAAGTTACAAAATGCCTTTCTAGTCATACTTGTCATTAGTTAAAAAAAAAAAAGAAAGCCAAATGAGTCATCTGGACTGAGGACGGGGAGGGAGAGGCAAGACTGAGAGTAATGCACTGAGACTACATTTACGATTTCAGCAGAAAAAAACTTTATCAATGTCTGAATAATTTATTCAGTTGGTTTTCAAAGATGATGCCTAACAACTTTAGAGTCAAAAATGGAATATCTTCCATATTGGTTGAACTGTTTGGTTGGGCAAAACCATTTGACCAACCACAAAACTGTTTGAAAGCCACCTTTGGGTTTTAAAAGGAAGCTGGAACAGAACGGCTTGATGAATGCGTCTTAGATAATTGTTTTAATTGTGTTTACAATGTTTTGTATGAGGATTTTTCCTTTAACTGTGGCACTTATTATTGTGCGGGTTAGACTTGGATGTCGTTGCAGATTATGGGTGTGCTAACAGGATGGGTGCATGCCTAAACCAGTTAAGTGTTGGACACAGGAGGAGCAAGAAATGAAGGCAAGAGTCGGTGTATGTTGCGGTTGTGCTGGTGGAATTTTGGGCGATCTCTGGCCTAGTCGGTCAAGAAGACGGGTCTTAGGGGAGCGTGGGGGGATGGGAGGGGGCAGATTTAGGGTGAAGGGAGGATAGCTCCAGCTCCAGGCAACATACCAAGTGTGGGGTATAATCTGACAGCACTCAGCCAAGACACATGCAGGGCTAAGACCAGGCACCCTACCAAGACTGGGGCCTGTGGGGACATCCTGGTGAGAGCTAAGCCTCCAATGGGCCTGGAGTGGTGCCAGGAGCAACACACACACACACACACGCATACACGTTAACACAAATGCATAGTAAATCCACACACGCGTGGTAAAGCCTGTGCAGTGTCTCTCGTACACCCACACACAAATGCAGACACACTGCGCATACAAACACCGCCACACATGGGGAGAATGAATGGAGCAATAAGACAAAGAAAGCATGAGGGCTGAGGAAATACAAGGTTTGCTATTTGAATGGAAGGGTTGGAGAGCCAGTTTTGTTGTTTATGTGCGAGTGTGCATTAGCACGTCAACATCTCATTCTGTCAGACTTCCCAACTACAACAGCAACCGCTGTGTATGAAATTAGCCTAATCGGGTTAAATCAACATTTTGTGTATGTCTCTGCTGCACTTTCCTCTTGACTAATCAAGCTGTCGTTGTGTGGTCCAATTGGAAATTGCCCTGAACGTTTGACTGACCTCACATTGCTAACTGACACTTCTTTGTCTTTCTCTTTCCATTCCCCACTCTGTTTCTCTTTCTGTTCCTCCTTCTCCTTCTTGCTGTTCCTCTGCAGATTATGTTTATTTTGAGAACTCGTCCAGTAACCCACTGCTGATCAGGAGGATAGAGGAGCTGAACAAGGTGAGTGTGAGTGGGTGTCTGAGGTTGAATTTATACCCTTGAATGCAGCACATATCCCAGCACGGATATTAATGTCTCTATCTCAACCATTCAAATACACTTTAATGAAGGCACATTTTAACTAATATTAGGTGCTTTTTTGTATATTTAAGTAAAAATAAATAAATGTATCTTGTAATGTAGAATAGTTTTGCCATTAAAATCTATTTTCATTAGCTGTTTTGATATCTGAAGCTACTTTATACTTTCTACAGCTTGTTCAGTGCAAAAACTCCTCTTAGGTAGGAGGGGAATATATTAAACTGCCTAATTATTTTTTTCACTGTACATGTGTTATTTCACTTCATAATTTATTAGAGTGAACATAACATCTGAACAAATTGCACTTTGATTACAATGCAAATTTTGGTTTGGGAATTTTGAAAAGAGGCATGTAATGATAGGCTGATTTATTTATTGAGAGAAACACAATCATTATCTGTGCTGAAGTGTCCCAGCTTCTGAAGTGTGATGATTTGCAGATTTTTATTGTGTATGCGACAGCAAATAGGCTTTCATTCAGCTTCAGACTTACAGTTATTAAAAAAAAGAAAATACAGCCTCTTAAAATTATAAGTTTTATATATCAGGGCATCAGAAAAACTTTTTTACAGGTCTTAAAATTAGGTAAATGTAACCCCAGAAGAAAAACAACACATATTACACCCTGTCATTATTTAGCAAATATTAAGCCAAAATGCGGGAGCAGCGTGTGGAAAGACTAAGTATGTGCTAACTGTGTCCACAGGGATTAAAAGGGGAAGTATCAGCCAGGTGCTCCTAATCAAATTCACTTTATCATCATCAAGTATGGTCACCTCTATAAAAGCAGAAGCTTTGTCAGTTTTTTGGTCTGAAGGATTCAGGTGTGTGTGTTAACACAGTGCCAAGGAAGAAAGATGTCAGCAATGATCTTAATGAATCAAATGTTGCTGTCCATCAATCTGAGTAGGGTTAAAAGTCAACTTCCAAACACTTTGAAGTCCATCATGCGACAGCGAGAAAGATTATTCACAGTTGCCAATAAACTCACTTCAAGGTCAGACCATGTAACGCTTGGAGGAAACAACCCAAGAGCCATATTTAAGACACTATATAGGCTTCAGTAATTGACTGGACAAGTATGGCTTGTTTGGAAATTTGCCTCTTATCTTGAACATGGCTTGGGGAAGGAAAGTCACATCAGAACAAATCGCCAGGACTTCAGGAACAATATCATTTGGACAGATGAGACCATAGTGAGACAAACTGTCAAGCACGGTGGTAGAAGGGTAGTGATTTTGGCGTGCTGTGCAGTCATTGAGTCAACTCCTTTTGTATACCAAAGTATTCTAGAGTCAAATGTGAGGTCATCTAAAGCTTGGCTAAAATTGTGTCACCAGGACAGTGATCCCACGCACACTAGCAAATCTCTTCCAGAGTGGCTGAAAAGTGAAAAACATCCAAGAGATTCAATGATCCAGACAAAGCCCAGACCTCAGCCTGATTAAAATGCTGTGGTGGGACCTTAAAAGAGCTGTGCATAAATTAATGCCCACAAACCTCAATGAACTGAAGTAACACTGTAAGAAGAGTGAGCCCAAGTTCCACCACAACAATGTGACAGACTGATTAAGTCGTACTTAAAATGATTTCTTCAAGTTATTATTGCTAAAAGTGGTTCTTAAAGCTATTGAATCATGGTGTGCAATTAGTCTTTCACACACTGCTTCTGCATTTTGGCTTAATTAAATAATGACACATTGTAAATGCAATGTGCTGTTTTTCATCTGAGGTTAAATTTACCTGGTTCTTAAGCCTTGTTATGGACTACATTGTTTTTTTTTTAATGCCCAGATATGTAAAGCCTTAGATGGGTGTACTGTTAGTGTGTTTTTAGACAATGCACTACTTGAATATGGGATGCTAGTCTTGACAAATTCTACAGACTAGATCTTAATGAAACGAGAAACCAAATGTTAGTAGCAGATTTTTATTATACTTTTAAATGTCTGATTTATGTGTTTCATATAGTAAATGGTATGTTTTTATTCAGCATAATGCAGTAGTGAAAGCAGTATTGTGTTATAGTGTCACATTAATGATGATGTTGCTGTTAAGGTGTTGGGTAAATCCCAGCCTGCTATTTGGTACGTTGTTCAGTTAAAGAAGCAGAAAAAGAGATGTCTCTGTAGACTAGTTACAGGTGCCGGCTGTCTGTCCCCTGTTCCAGGCCTGTGCTGAATAATATGGAGAGTGTTTAATGTGATTGACACAGAGCTCAGAGTCGGCCTTCTATTCTGTCTGTCACTGTCAGTCTCTGTGCTCCTCTGGGATCTTTGGGTTTCTCTTCCATACGGCCTGAGATGCTGGTTTAGAAAATACAGTGTCTGAGGGGAAAAAAAAAATCCATTGATCAAAACTGATAACTGATCAAGTTAACTGTTTAGTCTGAAAATCTTTGTGCAATCTAAAGTGCGCCCCAACAAGCTGCAAATCAGTTGGTTTGCCTGCTGATTAAAATGTGAAATAAATATGCAGTGTATAGCTTTCATGTAACTTGTATGCACATTTCGGTGTCTATTTATGATACTATTGTGAAAGGAAACTGTATATTTCACTGTTAAAATCACAGATCTTACTTGGGCGTGTTGCTCAGGTATATTAACAGCAGCCAAATTATATTTGAAGCCTCATCGTTTTTCCCAACCTACTCTCCAGGATGCTCCATCATTCTGTATACACCAGTATTTCTTGTTCTGCTCTTGAGGTACTGTGTGAGCTCCAGGGCCACTCCACCCAAAACCTGCATCAGGTGAAGTGCTGGTTCTTGTGCCACCTCATGGAGGCTACAGAGCAGAACAATGACTGCTATGAGCTAGCTGCAAGTTGGTGGATTTGGAGTCTCCCAGCAAGACCAGAGACAAGAGAGGCAGCTGATTGTGTTGCTTAATTATTTGTTGGTTGCAAAGTACTTGAAACACTCCTCCTTATTCTGCTGTCCTATATTTAAACTCTGATCCATTAAAAAAAAAAAATCCTTGATAGACCTTGCTTTTTGTTTCTTACACACAAACTCCAATGATAGTGCTGACCATAAATGGCTGTAGTACAATAAATACAGTTCTTACAGCTTAAATGTGCACATACATCATTTATGAAGTGATACTGGAAATGTTAAGATTAACTGTGGTTCATGTGGTTCACTGTGGTATGTGCTGTCACAGGGTGCTGTGGGAGTTTTATTTTTTTCAAAACTTTCTTCATTTTCAAAGAATTTTTTTTATTTTGCAGCCATAAATGGGCCATTTTTCTTTCCTCTGTTCTATGGCCTTTTTTCAAAAATGGAACTGGAAAATTGGATTTTAATTATTTGATGATTGGGAAAGTAGAAAGTCTGCAGAGCTGAAGTGTCTACAGAATGTAAATCTATGTTAGGTGTTCACTTTGTTTGTCATCCCTTCGTTCCTCATACAGTACACAATAAACTCATAAAAAAGTTAGTCAGTGCTCAAAACTTAAAAAAAAGGTAAAAGCTATAACTTGGTGTCTAAATTATACTTGGTATCTTTTACACTTTAAATAATCTTACTAGAAGTACTAGTTTCTGTTTTTAGGTAGTATTCAATAAAATATTGTCATGCAGATTCTAATTTAAAAACAGTTCTGTGTGACAACATTTATGTAGGAATTAATGTAAAGGGAAAAGAGCTGGGCTTGCACAGACAGTCCTCATCACTACAACACATGATTTTTTTTTTTCTTTTTTCTTTTTTTCGAGGATTGCTGTGGCCACTTTGTTTTCAGGCAAAGTTAAAAAAACTAGCCTCAGTTATGGGTTTTTCATCTGTGTGCCCGTGCATGCGCGTGTTGGTTCTCTGTGTGAGGCACCACTTGTTGCCATGGTAACGCTGATTGTCTCTGGTTTGCAGACAGCCAATGGGAATGTGGAGGCCAAAGTGGTGTGTTTTTACCGGCGCAGGGACATCTCCAGCACACTCATCGCTCTGGCAGACAAACATGCAAGTGAGTGACCGACCATAACCCAGCCAGCCAAAATCATGCATCAAACAAAACTGCCAACCAGGACATGAAACATTTCTTTCTGACAACCCTCTGCAGTCATTTCCCACTGCAAACTTGTGGTACTTTCGCATCCAATCAAACAAGATTTCCCTGAACAGAAAAATACAGCTCTGCTTGTTGTTTGGCTTGATTGTAAGCTTGTTTGCACTTCAGATTTTTATCAAGGGGTGATACAAAATTGAACTTTGTTTTCTTTTACCAAGCTGGTCCAGACTTTAGCCCCTCCTCTGATAGACCTACTTGCAGAAAGCATTGGATAAGTTATGTATATCAATATGGTAACGTCTGGGTGTTTGGGTGAGTTTAGTTTGTGCTCCTGTCCTTCAGAGCTTGGAGCAATGCTGCGTGGGCTCCATCTCGGGTGCCTTTCGTATGTTTTTTCTTTTTAAGTTCTGGCTACCAGGAAGTTTCATCTGAGAGAAGCGCCTTCAAGCGGTGGTTTTAAAAATAGGGAACAGGAAGTATAGAAGCTCCGTCAGAGGGACATAGAATGTGATGGTAGCTTTGATAACAGTAAAAGAAAGTAGTGTAAATGAAAACTGTTAACAGGTAACACAAGTATGTAATTTAAAGGCCAAACTATTGAGACTACTAGATCACGTCCCTCGTGGTTAGTTGGAAATTACGCCTTCAGGGCACTGCTCCAGAGTGCTCCAAAGAAGAAGAGAAGGATACAGGATTTATTGCCACTTAGAGATATTGCTTTTGGCATGACCACCTCTTCTTCCATATTACCTGTTTGACCATGTAAAAGGTGGCTTTTTTGACACATGGAGGTACATCGAGGTCCCACTATGGGCCTTTTATGAGGTAACTATGCATTTTGGCTACATATATTTAACGCACTTAGTCTGTTTTCCTTTAATCTTTGCATTTTCTTCTTATTTTATTGTAATTTTCTAAACATATTTTAACTGAATAAAAACCTGTGCAGTTTGCTTGTTAATTGAATACGGTTGTAAACCTTGTCTGCAAGCCAACCTTGTCTGCAAGCCAACCTTGCCTTGGAAGGTTATATCTATTTTAAATTTAACGTGAAAAGTTTGAAACTGTTGTCTATCTATTGTGTGTTTAGTCTTGTGGGAAAGTAGTGTCACCCACTACTACCAACTACTTAAGTTAGCAATCTGTATCCATGCTGCCACAGCGGAGCATTTGGTTGCCTCGCAACAAGATGGACCTGGGTTCAAACCCAGGAAGGCTAATGCAGCCAATGTAAGAGGTTCTTAATCTCATGGGTTCTCACTGGTTAAATAGAGGCTAAATAGATCTATGAACAGTTATTTTTTTATATCGTCTCTCATCAGGAATGATGACCACTGATCCTGTGATCCTGTGTCAGTGGTCATGTGGCAGCAATGTAAAAGAATCAAACAAATCAAATGGTTCGTTCTGTACTCATCAGTTACAGTTTTATTATTTTTTTTCGTTTCTTTGAACAAGTCATTTCTCTGACGTCACTCCATTTTATTGCATGTGTTTTTGGCCCGCTTGTAATCCTGAATTACTGATGTACTTTCCAAGGTGACTGACAGAAGGCAACATACTCAGCTGGTTTCTACTATACCTGTTATGCAAAAGAGCAGATATAGCTAAGTAGAATAACACATTAGCACTTGCTTTCTCTATGTAATGGAGTGTTTCATTAACAACGGTCCACACTCCTGACATACTCAGGTTCTTTTGGAGGCTCAAAAAGACTTTTGGCTAAAGCAGGTACACTTGGTGTCCAGAGCAGTGTGGCCTTCTGTGTCAACACAAAGTTTTACCAGATAGACTTAACATTAATATGAAAGCACTAGGGCTGGGCCATATCATACCGTTCACGATAATACCGGTATAATGTTGGGCAACGATAAGAAAATGAAATATCGCCATAGAATATGGGTAAAACGTGCATACGCAGTGCCTTTGTTTTCATACGCACATGGCGGAAAAAGGATGGCGGCGACGGAGAATGAGAAGGGCGAAAGCGGATCGTTGAATGAAACGGATGAACCAGAATTGGTTTGTAAAAATGCTGCAACTTCAGTGGTGTGGAACTGGTTTAGCTTTCATCCGTCAGACACACAACAAAGCACTATTTTTGGCAGAGCACGCTAGCGGGCCGTCGTTATTACCGTGTTTTTTGGAAAATACGGCACACTTAAAATCAATCCTTTGATTTTCTGAAAACCGACAGTGCCCCTTATGATCCCGTGTGCCTTATGTATGAATTCTGGTTGTGTTTACTGACCTCGAAATGATTTTATGTGCTACACGGCGCTCAAAAATCTGTCAAATGTTTTAGTACGACTTTGCTAAACTACGAACCCGCACCGCTTGATGGATTGT